GGATCTGGGTACTTGAGAGACCGCCTGCTGCCAATTACCTCCCACAGACCCATTAGATCTCACAGGGCTGGCCTCCTCCGAATTCCATCCGCCGGCCAGTGTCAACTGGCGACTACCCAGAGGAGCGCCTTCCCTGTGGCTGCTCCGACCCTCTGGAACGAACTCCCCGTGGAGATTCGAACCCTCACCACCCTCCAGGCCTTCTGCAAAGCCCTTAAAACCTGGCTGTTCCGACAGGCCTGGGGCTAAAGAGCTGTTGCCCCCGTCTCGAATGGTATGACTGTTGTGTGTTTTTAAATTATGCATTGTTATGTTTTGTTTTATTTTTTGTTTGTACCCCTCTTCCCTGATTTGAATTGTGAGCCGCCCTGAGTCCCCTTCAGGGGAAAAGGCCGGCATACAAATATAATCAATCAATCAATCAATCAAGGAAGGAGTATTAGGTCATCTTAATTAGTAAACACATGCGCACGCACACACACACACACACACATACTAATTAAAAAGTTGATTTTAACTAAAAGGCTGCTAATTACAAACCTATTAGCCTGTTGAAGTATATGCCAAATACCTTTAATTAATTTAAATAGCTTTAATAATAGTAATAATAGTTTTAATTGATTATTAAAACTATTGAATCAAAAGTGAAAATACTCATGCTGAGGAACAGGAGGGATTCCGATGGGATTGTTTGATCTTGGTTGAACCGTTGTTTAGCCTTGTACAATTTAGCCAAAAAATATTCTTCATTGTTCAAAGGCCTCCTTTTCACAACCTTCACACATTGCAAATTATGTTTTTAATTGCTTCTAAGCAGGAGGTTTGGAAAAAAACATTTACCGTACCTGGTTTGGACTGATTAGCTGGGCTGTGGGAAATGTGTAAGCAATTGAATGATGGACCTGCTCTACTATTGTTAATTGCTGCCTCTGGCCCTAATAATAGGTTTTGAAAAAGTACCTCTGCAATCAAAGCATAGTTTGGAACCATCATAGAAAATGGCCTGAAGAGTGCTTTTAGGTTGTCAGGTAACTCTGTGCGCCCAGCATAGCCAGGATTCATAGTAATAAAAGCTGCACAAGTCATAATTAATTTGATTTCACGTCCTTCAAACATAAACCGAGTGACCTTTTTTAAAAGGAAAAAATGAAAAAAAGAGAAAGCCATTACATTTATATTTTCATTCAAATTACATTATTCTTTATTTTAGGCATAGATCAGAACCTTCATGAATACAATATAATTATACATAAAACATAAAATATTAATTTATATAAAATATAAAACCATAATATCATAAACATGATAATAAACCAATGCATATGAAAATTAAAATATCTGGTTCAGCATTATTTCTTTCCATTATATACATATTCCAATGTCTGTTCTGAAAAGTAAAAACAAAGGAAGCAATGTTTGAAAGTCACTCCAATCAGATAAGAACAGCTAATGTCTCCTATATTTTCTATAAATCACCACAGAGTGTAGCTCATTGCATCTGTTATGTATAGGAACTGTTCAGTAAGATATTTAGCTAGTTTAAGCAAGTAATAAGTTGGAACAAAAGACACATTTATTTGATGTTCTGTCTCATTAACTCATTTTAACACTTGGTTTAGCATGCCTAGGCCCTAAAGTCATGAGAAATAGTTATGAAAAGCCACATGAACTGAGTTTAGCTAGAATGATAGTGCCACACAGAGTGACAGGAATCATTCAAAACCAAAGGCCAGACCTAAAAGGCACCAGATTTAATTCTAATTAAAAATTAAACATGGCACCCAAATCTTTGCCTTGACTTTCAATGGAACAGTGTCAAGTCTTAACAGTGCATTGGGGGCTTGGAAAGTAGATTTTTGAAATGTGGACTAGATCTCATCTAAAAGTGGAATATAGATTGGATTCTGTAAAATAACTGGGAAGACTACTTGCTTCAAAATATGCTGAAAGCACAAATATATACTAGGTACCTCTAGTTTAATAAATTACCATAGCAGCAGATCTCTCCTATGTATTTTGGGATGTTACATATTGTGTTCTTTTAGAATACCAGAACAATGAAAAATAATGCTCAAGTAATTGAATCCTTGATGTTGCTCAATATCTCCCTTGTTATTATTTATTTTCTTAGCATATGGCATTTGTACATTAAAAGCCAGAAAGCCTACAATGTTATTACAGAAATGTTTTGGCTGTCTAGGATTGCTAGTTTATTTAGTTCACACTTGTGAGCTACCCAGGGGCCACCGCAGGGGACAAACTAGCACCACACATAGCTAATGATTTTCTGTGGGAGTGTCAGCATCATCCAGGGGGTTTCTCCATCAATTTTGCCTCATATTTGAGAAGGTCCACCGCCAGTTGATTTCTTCCCACTAGAATGGTATCTATTTAACTACTTGCATTTTTGCATGCTTTCAAACTGCTAGGTTGGCAGAAGCTGAGGCATGTGATCGGAGCTTACTCCATCACGTAATGCTGGGACTAGAACTGATGGAGTATAGAGGGGTGACCTTTTCTGGGCAGCAAATCCATCACCTTTAAGCTGCTGAGCCACCATGGTTCTTCTTCCTTGATTATATCAGCAATGACTTTTTAGGGTATTTTTTTGTATACACTGGAATGTTTAATATTTTTCTTATTAGTGCTCCACTGAAAATGACAAGTTTGTGGAGTAAATTACAACAATGTCTGCAAAGAGCAGGATGGCTAGTATTAATTGGCATCCTTCAGAGAATGAAAATCATGTCTTATTAATGAATTTATATAAAAATTTAAGAGGTGTGGGGTAAAAATGTTTCCCTCTTTCATTCTTCTTGATACAGAGAACCAAAATATGCTAATTAATACTTATCTACCTATTACATTTGGGGGGGGGGGGGAAACCATGAAACAGGACATTTGGTACCTTTGCTGCTTTAGCATTCCTTATTGTAATCAATTGTTGGGCTATAACAGACAGAACTTCAATGTCAATTCTATTGAATTCATCAAAGCAACACCATGCTCCAGACTGTGCCAAACCGCTGAAGAAACGCCCCATCATCTGAAACAATATGTATACATTGATGTTACATTGTCTTAAATGTTTATCCTCAGCTCAGTTGTAGTTTCAAGTATCAACTTCTAAAGTGCATAATGAGAAGGATGCTTACATCCAAGTTCCATGAGGTCTGTGTTAAATCTCTGCATCACTTCATCAAAACAATAGAAGCCTATTTCAGCTTTACTCTGACTTGTTTGTATGTTTGATACCAACTGGCTCATTAGCCCAAAGTAAATTAGGGCTACTTCTGCTGACTGCCAACTGCCAGCAATTTGACCCTGATTGGCTCAAGGTTGGTTCAATCTTTCATCTTTCCGAGGTGGGTAAAATGAGAACCCAGATTATTGGGGACAATATGCTGACTCTATAAACATCTTAGAGCGGGCTGTAAAGCACTGTGAAGTGGTATATAAGTCTAAGTGCTATAACTATTGCTATAGTTTGAAGCTGATTTATGAACAATTTTGTGTGCTGCTATTGGACATTACAACTAAACATGGCATACTGGTTTAATGGTTATGGTTACATTGCTTTATCCAGAGGTGGGTTTCACATAACTTTACCACAGGTTTGCCGTGCACCTAAACTATGAGCATGGGTGCATGTACGCTCACTTCGTGAGTGCACGTGTCTTCCGTGCATGCACTTTGCTCACACATGTGGCTTGTACACATGTGTGCGGCTTAGAAAACATGGCTAAATAGGACAGCATAGAGCTGGGGTGGGGGGGGGCGGGCCCGGGCCCACCCACAGGTTGCCACTACCGGTTCACCCGAATCAGTCCGTACCGGCTGAATATCACCACTGGCTTTATCCCAACTTCAAAGAGAAATGGGAAGGAGAGACTCAAAATTTAAACTTAGTTCATAAAATTAAGAGGCAGGTGTAGATGCTTTCATGGTTCTTTCCATCTTTTTTTAATGGCAACAAACTTCTCTACCCGCCATGCTTCAGCACTCCTTTACTTCTCTATAGCAACTAGGCCAGGCCTTTTGTAACTGATTGTTGATGATTTCATTCATAAATATTTATATGTAGATGTTAAAAGCATAGTTACTCTTAGAATCTATACCGACAGTTCAATAGATGTAATTACTGAGTGACCTAATAAACTTTGCTGTAATTTTCCATGCACTTTATGCTAATATTTGTCCACCCCTTTAGGGACCAAGTTAAACTTTTGTACCGTTTGCAAAAAAGCAACACAACAAAACAGTTCCAAGAGTGACTAATACCCACTAAGGATTCTTTCTAATTTGCATCAGTTCTTCATCCTTCCAATAATAAAAGAACAAGCAACACTTACAAGTTCTGAGCAATGAGAAAAACATGTATGTAAATCAAGCCATTATGTATTTGAATATTTAAGGAGCAGATTCTGGCTTATTTAATAAACCAAGATTAGGCACATCTAAACAAAGCTACTGATCTTACTATGAAGAGCATGAAAGGGTCTGAACACAGAGAATTATTGTACAATAATCCAATTTGCTGTAATTAATTCTGTTAGAGGAATCATTAACATGAGAAATAATTTCTTTAAAATCCTATCTTATCAAGGGCCATTAATGTCTACTTCTCCATAAAATTATTGGGTTTTTTCTACATAGTGTCAAACCCACTCTTTTATTCAATTTTCTCATTCTAGTCCAGCTAAGCTGTCCAAAGATCGATCAGTTAAGGACTGGATGAAAATGACTGGCTCATGTTTGATATTATTATTATTTTACAGAAATTATTATTATGCTTTACTATAAAAAACAACTTTCCTGTTTCTGTAAGCCTACTTGAATGCCATACCTTGTAATCCAAGCCATCTGAACAGTTGAACACCACACACTGGATGGCAAGTGCTTTTGCAAGATCTTTAGTAGTCTCTGTTTTTCCGGTACCGGCAGGTCCAGCTGGCGCTCCCCCTAGGTCAAGCTGCAGGGCTCCCATCAGGCAAAGATAGCAACGATCCTGATGAGATTTAATGTTAACATATGCACAATATTGTAAGGAAATCTGAATATGATGTAACTACAACTGCAGCATCAAGTTATTATATAGGATATTGATGGAACTTTGATTTAATTTTGGACGGGGGGAAATACAAAGCAATTGGTTTCTTAAAAACCTTTTTCTTGACTTCTAAATCTGTCCCTAATGTAGTCCTGAAGCTATGTAGGCTAGGGGCTTTCTGCCTAGAACTGAAATCAGGGCATGGCAATTAATTTTATTTTTCACCTTACACTTAAACTAATCTCATGGGACTACCCCAATCAATCTAATGGGACCTGTATTGTATTTATTTGTTCTGCTCCTTTATCAATGTGTCTATGCATTTTTTCTTTCCAGGTGGGTTTTTCTGGCAGCATGAAGGGGGTAAGAAGTTTTATTATTACAAATGTACTTGTAGCTGCAATATCTATCTTGTGAGGGGAAAAATGTAGCCTCAAAGCTCCATGGTGATCATCACCGCCTCTCAATGTCATCAACCTCCACTCTACCACTCCCTCTGTTAACCTGCTGTTGTTCTGCTGTATTTCCTGTTTCCTCTGCCTTTTTTTTTCATTTCCCTCTCTTATCACAGTCTCTTTCCACTGAAAGAGATATTTTCTTAAACTTTACAGGCAAGAAAATTACAGCAACACATTACCGTGAGCGGCGTTATCACTAATCTTGGACATGCACCCAAGTATTCATAGGCATAGGTATATTGTGATAAAGCCATTCTTGCCACACAGTTATCTAAATCGAGGTCCCAATAGTAGCGCAGTTGTCTTTGCCAGTCAAAATTGTCCACAGAATCCACCTTGCCAAATAATAGAAAATATTTATTAGATTTTTTTTAAAAGGTAAAGCTATACATGTTCTTTAGCCAAAATTAATGTACCTTTTGGTGTACAAGTTCTGTAACAATGTCTCTTGCATGTACATCAATAGTAATCAGTGCCGTTATGATATTTCGGTGAATTTTGGGAAGGCTGCCACGGACTAGTGAAGCCAATGCATTTAGTCTCTGTGAAATGAAAGGAAACAAAATGTCCTGAGTCTTTACTTAACATAAGGCCTTGCACTGAAAGGACAGGAATAGGTTAAATTGAAGAAAATGATATTAAATCCAAAAAGATCATAGGGACTTTTTTGAATATTTTTATTAGCAATGAAGATCATTGCTGTATTTGATATTGTTTCAGGGATCTCTGCGAACCAGCATATACATGGTCATCCATTCAAGAACTTCTCAGATATGTGAAATGTTTTAGTAGGCATTTCAGACTAGAATGACTTATACATTATATAAAAAGGCACCATCCACAATAACTATTTTGATTTTAAAATATTTCTACATTTTATTTTTACAAAAGTATAAAATAACACCAATATGTTAAAAAAATAAAAGATATTGAATACTCACATCAAAATTCTCATTTTCAAACTCTTCCAAAGCAACTAAATGATCTTGATCTTCTCCTTCTAAACATTGAGTGAGATCTCGACACCACATGAGCTGAGAAATGGTCAGCACAACCTATATAAAGAAAATGAAACAGAATTCGGACAGACGTATCTTGTGCTGGAGATGATATCTAGTTTCAGTGTTCTGATTTTATCATTTAAACATTACTGAATATTTCTACCACATCAAACTTCTGAACTTTCAAAACCATTCTTCAATAATCTCAATACAGTAGGCTTATTACCCCACTGATCTTTACCACAATCTGAATGCTTCTGAACTTGGTTCAGTATAAGCAGCTACATCTATTAACATCCAACCTAGGAACACAGAATATTTATTTGATAGATTTCTATCATAAAATTGGGAATATCTGAAGAACTATTGCCAAGGAGCAATATACTGAATTTCTAAGATAAAGTAATGCTTGCGAATGTCAAGCCATTAAAGAGTATGGTTTACCTGAGAAGGATGTCCAGCGATAACCCACTCTGTTCGTTCTCTAGTTTGATAATCTGCAATGGCAGCTTTGCTCAGTCGTCTAAGGGAACTAAACATTGCTTCTTCAACTTTGCCAAGCCAGTCTTCAACATTTCCTCTGGCCTTAAGTCCTTTTCCCAAGCCAACCTAAAAAGGCAAACCTTCCATTCACTGCGAGGGTTAACTGATACGTTTTCCCCCCAGAATTCATATCATTCTTCTCCCTCAGGTAGTGCTAGGGAGTAGGAAAACTCCAGAAAAAAAGAGTTACTACAAAATTATTAATGATGTAAATCATATTCATGCAGCACAAAAATAGAAAAAAATACTTCAAAAGTTCTTTGTACAAAGGTTTTGATTTCTTTTTAAATATTCTCCATCTCAAGTATGACTTTTTAAAATAACTGATTCAGCAATATTCAGGCTCTTAATATTCTGTTTGCTCTAACACAGTACCAAAAAAGCAAATCCAGCATGAGGTTCTACCAGAAAAATAATCTATTTTAAAAAGATGGACTCATGAAGAATCAGTTTCATTTACTTTCACTGATATATGACTAATTACAATTCTTGCCTATGGGAAAAACTAAAACAGATACTAAACGGTATCTTACACCAGTGTTTTTCAACCTTTTTTGTGCAAAGGCACACTTTTTTCATGAAAAAAATCACGAGGCACACCACCATTAGAAAATGTTAAAA